AGATAAAATCCTTAATGTAAAGTTTTCCCATATATACCAGCTTTCACATGAGTAACATATTATGCTTACAAATCCATGTACTGTTAGACCTAAAACTTTGCAAGTCATATGATTTATGACACGTAATTTATGACATATTACAAGTGCATGAAATCTACAATTCCTTCAATTTCTACTAATTCTACTATTTCTACAATTTCTACAATTTCTACTATTTCTATATTTTCTATTAATTTCACTCTTTCTATTATTTACCTCACTGTTATTAGTTCTATTATATATATTAGTTATATTAGATTATATATAAATTATCCCATTGAATAGGTCTAGTATAATTGATTAATATAATATTTTCAATCCAAGAATATGTATAAATAGCCCTGTTATCCTCTAAATCAGTAGTTTTTCACATAACAAGTAATAAAGAGTAAACTCATATTGTTATAACTACTTGTATCTTTATATACATTTAGCTGTTTGTCTCTTTCATAACTGCAAATCACAGAATTCTCTTAAAGCATAACTAAATAAACCATATATTTTACTTAAACAGAAAGATGGTATTGTTATCAATCATCTAATATATCTGTTGCTAAAGTAAATTAGTTATACTGAATTATAAGAGGCAGTTTAGGTGTAACAGTACCATAATATCATTTTTGATCTCACAGTAATGTTGGCTCTGTTACTTCATTGATGAGCCAATCAATTTTTAAAGAAAAAAGAAAATATTGGAAAATTTTCTCAAAATTAAAAATTGCTATAAGTTACAAATAATGACAGTTATTCGAACATACTAATAATAAATATATTAGATGATTAACTTAATAGACTTGGTGTAATTTTGCAAGAATTTAAGAGAAAGTAATAGTTAAGCTAGAAAAGCTTTACAAGAAAAAGGAAAGAAATTTGATTATTAAAAGTAAAGTTCTGCAGACAAATATACCAGGCACAATTGGCATTATGCCAGGCACTGTTGGTGCTATATTGGGCACAATTAGGCACTTTGCAAAACACTGTTAGCACTATGCCAAGCAGAGATATTAGTATTCAAATACCTGCCATTTTTATTGTTTTTACACATGTTGTGTCCATCTGATGTTTTTAGCATATGCTAGTCTTTGTTGTGTGTGATAAAAATAATTTAGATAGTTAACTAATTTATGTCAATCAAATTATTTACGTACTAGAAACTTATTACTATTTTATTTCTTATTAATTTTATCACTTATCTATCAACTTAATTAAGCCACCTAACAAATTAGCTTAAGATCATTATTCAATATCATATTATTGTCGTAACTGAAGTTGGGATTTGCCTGAAGTTGGAACTTCAGTTGACTAAAGTTGTACCTGTCTAAAACAGCTAACTAATGCGTGCAGGATGATCTAGTTTCAGGGGCTAATTTCAATAAGGTCCAACTTCAACTTCAATCATGACATTATTATTATCATATTTTGTTTATCATAACATACTTCACTCATATTAAATGATTCATATATTTTCTCAAAATGGCCTCAATACATATAATCTTTGTTGTCATAGGCTTAATAGATTGTCTGCAGAAAAGCACTATTATTTTTTAACAACCTTTTTATTATTATATATTTTTTTTGCTTTATAAAATTTCTTTTTCGAAATTTGTTTCTGAATAAATATTCTATTATTTATTAGATAACTAATAGGCTTTACTTTGTTTATCATATTAGCTTGTATGAATTACTGTGTTAACTATGTGATTTATTTTGCAAATTCAATGAGTGATTTTCAGATTTCAAACTTTATTACTTATTATTAATTAGTAAGTAATAAATAGTAACTTGTAATCCTGAAGTTTAGTTTTTTGGCATCATTTATATAAAAAAAAAATATATGTTAGTATTTACAATTAATAATAATTATTACAAAAATATTTTATATACAACTGATTAATAATTTATAAATATTATGCTGCAATACAAAAAATATATTATAATACAATAGATAATTTACATATTGTATTATAGACAATATAAAAAAAATTTACTTGTTTATTTATTTTCGTATTTATTTTTTAATTTTATATTTACAACCTCACCCTTGCACTTTACTTTATTGTAAATATTTATAGAAGACTCAGCAATATTAAATTTTGATAATTCTACTTTAAGTATCTTATAAAAGAATAATATAGAATTATCTGCAATACTTATATTACAAAAGAGCATTAAATAGTGATGAATTTTGAATATTTTACTTATATAATAGCTACTGTCTTTTGATGATCGGTTGGAATGAGATCTCTGTAATCTTGGTAGCACCAACAGGATTAGGAGATCATGAGTATTTGTGCAATATATGAGTTATACAAATATATTCTTGGATCATATTAACCCAAGAAATTGGAAAGATGAATACCTACTTGGCAAGACCCGAATAGAAAAGTAGCATAGGCTTTAGACAGTACTACGTAAAAGATTATCATTAGGAGAACTAGCAAAAACTGAATGGGACTAAAGTATTTGGCAAGACACTCTAACAACCAGGCCACCAAAGTACTAGAAGAAAAGAACCTAACCATAGGGACCAGGAGCAGGTCATAGCCCTTCTGGGCTATCTAAATTGGTAGTTTGGGATAGTTGGGGATACTGGTAATAGTCTGTAAAGTGTGTGCTAGGGTTTGGGCAAACTTTACAAGGTAAATAATAATGGTAGCAGCTTTAGTCTGCAAGTACTTGTCCTCAGACAAGGGTGTAAATTACTGAAGACTAAGTTAGCCAGATTGTGGGTATGGAAAACTCTAGCAGGTTTACTACAAGGATAAAGTAGTTCTAAGAGGCCTTAGTAGCAGAAATTCTTTTGAAAAAGCATCTGATAGTGCTAAGTTGATCAGAGGGTTTAAATAGAAGATCTACAAGCAGATCTTAGATATGGCAAATGGTGGATAACTATAGATAGAAATATATATAGCGAAGCTTTTAATTAGGTAATGACTAAAGTTGTATATATAACCAATTATACTCTTGTTGATATAACAAAGTCAAGGAGTGCCTATTCAGCATTCTGATAATTGAACTAAAAAGTTAATAAACTGTGCCAAACCCCAAATAGTCACCTTAATATTTAAAAAAAAATTTGAGCTGATTTGGATCACTAGTTATTGAGTTATTCGTTTTCAAATTTTTGCTAAAAATTTTGAATTTTTATTCTGTTAATTATAATTGATAATAATCATTATATATCAATTAAATTACCCTGAATTGCATCAATACATAGCACTTAAAAAATTTTTTTGATAAGGCCCTTATCAAATTTGTAACAAACTTGGCAATAAAACTTACAAACTCCAATCTGTAAATAATAAAATAGAGCCCATGATTCAAGCTATACATGGTAATTATCTCAAGCAATATATTGTAAGACAAGTCTTAAATAGATAAAGAAGGATCGGCCTCACGATCAAAAAAAAATTTTTACTTTGTTTTTGCAAATTTTACAGATTCGCAGAAGCCTATTCTTCAAGCAAAATAATATATTATATAACCAAATTATTATATGCACTATAGTATAACAATTATATCTTAAAGATACAACTCAGTAGTAATTATACAGTAATTTGTGTATATACATGAAGTATATAATCATTAAATAGTTATTAGTATTAGTAATTGTATGAATAATAGTTGTAAAGAGAATAAGGTATAAAAGAAAAAGAAAAAAAGGGTAGTTAGTAAGTCTTATTGTTCATTAGTTAGTTCTTTATTTAGTTGGTTAGTTGGATAGTACTCTGAAAATATCTCTTGGACTTATTAGAAAATAGAAAATATTAGATACTTAGTTATAAGTTCTGCTTACTTTCTTGTCATATATAAATATAATAAATACTTGGTTCTTCCTTCTAATGCTCACAACTCTAAACCAAATTGGCTATTTGATATAAAGTTATTCCTTGGTATATAATACTGTGCAAGTTTCTGATCTAGATTTATGGTCCTAATTTGATTAGCTAAAAAAAATATAAATATATCATATAATCTTTCTGTAATCTATATAATATTCTAATCAAGAAATTTTATTAGGTAGTATGAATAGTTAAGGGATCAGTGTTATATAAAATTTTTGTACATCCTGATCAACAAAGGAATTACTTCATTTTTCCACAGTAAGCTATTACATGCCTATGACTATATCAAAATAGCTAATTACTACATTTTTCGTCGAGTATTACTTCATTATCTACTCTTATACAATTATTTCATTTCTTTCTATTACCATATTTTTTTTATTCATTATCTTATTTTCATGATATTTGCTTGATTAATTACTTTATTTTACTATATACATGATAGTAGATGAAGTATATATAAAGAGTGACTCTAGTGTCAAGTTAAATAGAATGTGTAGAAGAAGTGTATAATGATAAAACAATTTCTATATATAATTTTGTACATAACCCTTGCTTGTAAATAAAGAATATCTTTTGCTGCATCTAATAAAATACTCACCCCAAATAATTTTTATTGTACTCAAAGCAAATTTGTTAAACACAAATATCGCTTTCCCAATTTGAATATAATATTTTGGTGCCAATTGCATAAAATGAACAAAAGCTAAAATCATACTATATTAAGAAAATAATAAAAAACATATTAAATTTGGTGAATAATATTAAGATAGCTAATAAAAATAGAAGTTTTTGCAACAATAAATTAAGAATAATCTGAGCCACTAACTACAACAATTGCTCTGTAGTGTGGTGAATATTTTGCCCAATCACAAGAGTCCTAGATAGATTTTGAGAAACAGATTTTTGTAAAGATCCTGATATATGCAGAAGGAAATCAGAACCCGGTTGAATGGCTAGAATCAATTAACAGTGCTTTTGAGGTGAATAGGATTGTTGGCACAAGAAAGTTGGCTATTATTGGTACCAGTTTGACAGGCCTTGCTGTGTTTTGGTAAAAGGATCAAAGAAAAAAGAAACCAAGGATTATGTACTAGGATAATATATATATTCAGGACCAAAGCTTCATTCACCAGTTCCTCTTGAATTTCTGTACCCAACAATAATAGCCCAGTGGAATATAAAAATATTAACCAGAAGACAAGATGCTGTAAAAACAGTAGATCAGTATGCCACCAATAAGTTGGTATTGTTTTATCATTTGTCAAGAATCAGAAATTAGTACTCTGAGAGTACAAAAGTAGAAATGTTCATGCAAGATTTCTGTTCTGACTTGTCATTATCTGTCTAATTATTTATACCAAATACCTTTCAAGAAGCTATAGAAAGGGTCTGGATATGTGAAATAACAATCGTACACAACTTGGCTATGTGCAGCCCTGCTGCAACTCATAATATAGATTTGAACTTTTTGGTCGCTCCTCCATAGTTGCCCCAAGCAGTGTCTTCGTCGACACCACAAGTAGCAACTTCTGTATTCTAGTAATAAAGAATCCTGTAGAACAAGTAGTTTCTCAGTTACAAGAAGTTGTCTCTACTATAACATCTGATAGAAGTAGCAGCAGTAATTGTTTATGCCCTTCACTTAGTAAAAGTTACAAAAAGTGAGAGAAACATCTTTAGGAAAAAACCAAGCTAAGTACTGCTTTTCAAAATAGAATAAGTTGTCACATGAAGCCAAAGGAAAGTAAAAGAAAGAGAAAATGAAACTTGCTGATTCTTTTGTTATAACAAACCAGAACAATAATGATAAAAATATAAAGGATATATCTGATGAACATAAAATAATGGATGATCTAGAGGAGTTAATAAGAGATATCTGAAGTCTGTTTGATCTTGAACCTGACTATCAAAATGGAATCAGTGTTAGGAAAGATGAACGCAAGGCAAATAATAATAATATAAAGATGCCTACTTTTTCTATTGTTACTGAAATGAAATCAGCATTGAAAAGAAAGAACAAAAGGCATCTCATGATTATCAAAAATCTGTTGAGATAGATTACTACAATGGAGCATATAACCTTGACCATTGTTATAAAAATAGTAAAAATAAGAATAAAAGCTGTATATTTGTTGAGCAACTAGATACATAATAAAATAGTTGTAAAAGAATAATATAATGATAATGGCAAAGATGTAGTAGTGTTCAATTA